TGTTGACCAGGATGGTCTCGATCTCTTGACCTCGTGATCCACCCGCCTCGGCCTCCCAAAGTGCTGGGATTACAGGTGTGAGCCACCGCACCCGGCTCTGTTTATTTTTATATTTTCTTTTTTTTCACTGGAAAGGAAAGATGATGTTCAGTTTTAAACGTTAAAACTGTACAAGTTGCTTTGTTACAATAAAACTAAATGTGTACACACACACACACACAAAATATGTATATATAATCATACTTAGTTCCATATAATCTTTCTATATAATCATATAGGTACTGTAGTCAGAGCTGTACCGACATATTTAGTGCTGATGTATATAATCCTTCTACATAACCATATAGTAGTTTGTAGGAGGAGGAATGCCTAGAGCAGTCACAGAACAGAAGGCCTGAGATACTGCAAATAACCGAGGGAGAAGAACCCCTCTGGTGTGACCACTCACGGCGGCTGTACGCTGTCAGTCTTTTCTCGATTCTGTGCTAGCTCAAATCATCCTCCCACAAACATCTTAAGAACACAAGTCTGTCAGCTCCCACTGCATTGGCTTACAGCATCCTTCTATTAGAAATGCTTTGATGTCTCCAGCGCCCAGATAAAACAGGTGTTGTGCATGACACCTGTTGCACACAGCCCACCTCCTTGTCTCGGTGACCTAATGGGGGTGGACCACTTTTCTGTACATGACCCTCTACTACTGCACACGGCATGGCCCCCAACTGCACACGGCCCACTTCTGTGCCCAGGTGACATAATGGGGTGGCCCCCTCACTTGTGACTCACGTGATTATGTATGCCCTATCACTAAGCCTATAGATCATAACCTCACTTACTACCCTTACCCCTGCCTGTACCTAATAAATAGATGCTTCTGCATGTTCGGGGCATTGCCTGTCTCCGCTCATAGGTGGCGTGGCCCCCCAAGTCCAGATGCCCTTCACCAGTTCTTCAGTGTCTTATTTCTTGGATCCTGCACTTCAGCACAGCATAAGGGACACCCCACCACCCTGTGGGGCCAACAGCTCTACAAGCACCTATGTGTCAGGCTCCATCAGGCACATCACAATCTAACCTGATAATTACACAACGCATCTCACTGATAAGGAAGCCAGGCTCGGAGGGGCTAAACCCCCAACCTGAGGGCGGTGATGCAGGGACACACAATTAGAACCCTGCTTTGCTGAAGGACAGGTATGCAGCCTACCAGTCCCCAACCCAGGAGGCTGGAGAAAGAACAGTACCAGCTGGCCGGGCGCGGTGGCTCAAGCCTGTAATCCCAGCACTTTGGGAGGCCGAGGCGGGTGGATCACGAGGTCAAGAGATTGAGACCATCCTGGTCAACATGGTGAAACCCCGTCTCTACTAAAAATACAAAACATTAGCTGGGCATGGTGGCGCGTGCCTGTAATCCCAGCTGCTGGGGAGGCTGAGGCAGGAGAATTGCTTGAACCCAGGAGGCGGAGGTTGCGGTGAGCCGAGATCGAGCCATTGCACTCCAGTGTGGGTAACAAGAGCGAAACTCCGTCTCAAAAAAAAAAAAAAAAAAAAAAAAGAAAAGAACAGTACCAGCTTACACCTTTACCCAGAGTTCTTTTTATTGTTCATAATGACTTAGGAACTAGTACTTATATAATCTCAAGTTCCTGAGGGGCCAGAGATCCCACCATGCAAAATAGCAAACAGACCCAAGACTCGGGGAGAGGCAGTGAGTGCATCAGAAATGGATGGGTACATCTGATCCCCACACTCAGGGGGCTCAGCTTAGTTAGCAGCAGACCTTCAGATTGAGAAAAAAGGCAAGTCTTTTTTGGCCTCTGTTATCTGGGAAGGATGGAGGGAGCACGGGAGGCACAGAAAAGGTGTGTGAATCCTGTCCGGCCCGGACGAGGCTGGAGTTGTGCTGCTGGAGAGCTCCAAGCACTGCTCAGAGTGTCAGTCCCCGCTCCTGGAACAGACGTTTTAGAGCCTCTTCCAGTTGCTGGTTTGTTCCCTGAAGCCCCTTCACCACCTGCGCTGCCCACTCGAAGTATTCCTGGACTCGATGTTCTGACCATCCTGTGTAAGAATCGACAGAAACCTGCTAGCCTGATGTCAAAGACGGCACTGCCTTTTGCCTGCTTCCGGGCAAGCTTGGTTCAGGGCCATGAGTTCCTGATGGGATGAGCTGTCCCAAAAACTTGCGCGTGGCTCAGCTATTGTATTTTGACCGTATGAAAGCAGATCAAGAGTGGTCTAGTAGGATTAATTTGGGAATTAAGAACGCCCAGGGTTTTTCAGGGGAACTGAGCAAGCTGTGCCTTCAGAAGGTGGCATCCTCCTCCCCTTTCCCTTAGAGCCCATAGGAAAGTGTACCCTCTGGGGTGCAGCGATTCAGGTCCCTCAGATTGTGCAGCTTGTCTGCCAGCTTCACCAGTTTGGCCCCAGGGCTGCTGTGGGGCGCCTGCTCCACCTGCAGCCGCTTTCTCTCGAGCTTGGGCAGAGTCTTGTCATCTGTTACCTCCTCCACCAGGCACCGCACCTGTGCCCCAAAGTGTAGCTCCACCTCATCCAGGGTGGTGTCTGTGTCCTCCACCGTGTCATGGAGCAGGGCTGCCTGGGGACACGTTCCCATTCAGCCCTGAGATGTTAGCCAAGGGAGGCCCACTGCTGAATGGGGCCCCTGATCCCTACCCCAGACTCCTGGCAGAGAGGTGGGGAGGTTACCTGTAACACCGCAATGTCAGTGATTCCCGCCTCATGGGTCAGGATCCGAGCCACACCTGACGGGGAGGGGCAAAGCAGGAAGTCAGCTCCGGGGGAGCCCCCGGGCGGTGTGCTGTGGGCTTCGGAGAGCCAGAGGCGGCCCCCCGTGGCCTCTCACTAGCTGGGTGGCCTCGGTAAGTCCCTTACCCTCTCGGTGCAGACCGACAAAGGGAACGACCATGACCACCGCTCCCATTGTTGTGAGGCCTAAATACCGCCCTAAGCTTGGGACAAAATAGGTGCTCAACGAGGTGGACGCCCCCCACGTGTCCTTCCCAGTGCCCATCCCCCAGGCGCCGCGGCAGGGGCTCCGCGGCCGACGCGCCCACCGATGGGGTGGTTGATGTAGGGGGTCCCCTCGGGGTCCTTCCGCCGCTGCTGCCGGTGCTTGCGAGCCGCGAAGTCCGCAGCCTCCAGCAGCTGCGCCGCCTCGGAGCCCATGGCGCGTTGGCGGCGGGCGGCTGCGGCCGCGGGGCCCCACGGAGCATTGACAGCGCCCTCTGGCGCCTGGGAGGCCCGGGGCGGGGATCATGGAGGCGAACTCCGCGGGCGGAGTCGGGCCTGGCCCAGATGGATTCCTCCGGAGCTGACATGCCCGGTGCAGAGCAAGTGAGGTGCGAAGCTGCCTTCAGCATCGCGGCCCCCAGATCGGTGTGCTCTGTTGGGGGTGCAAGAAGAACATAAGCCTGGCTCTCTGGGAGCCTGCAGTCTGTGGAAAAGAGGAAGACAGACAACAATAAGGCAGTGGCCTTGCCGTGCACTGAATCCAGGGTGGGAAGGCTCAGGGGACTACAGCAGTGGGAAGAAAGGTCAAGCCAGCAGCCTCAGAGGCAGAGGCAGCTTCTCCCAGAAGCTCCCTCCATGAACAATCCTCAACCTGTCAAAGCTCTGACAACTCTCCAAGTGTTCTAAAAATAGTTCTCCCTGCGGTGATGGGCCAGGTTCTCTAGGCAGGGGAGCCTCACCTTTGGACCTAGGAGATCCTAGGACCTGACCTGAAAAATCAGAGCCTTCACTGGGATCCCTGCCTAATTCCTTCAGACTTGGGCTCCCAGGTAGCCGTGACATTTCTGCAGGAACTGCCTTTGTCCTCAGTGTTGCAGATGAAATTTGCATTGCCTTCTTATGCCATGAGTGCTCCTATTTCAGTCTTGAGGCACCTTCTGTGGGTCCCTGTGGTTATGAGCGTTGTTAGTGCTGTTCTGGGAGCATGATGTTGTCAGGCCTGGGTAGACACTGGAATAACGCTTAATTCTGCTGGCTGGTGGCCTTGGGTCTTCTGGAAGAATTCCCTGCCTTGGCAGCTATGAGGTATGAGGGGTAAGAGAGGCCTTATAAGCCGGGCGCGGTGGCTCAAGCCTGTAATCCCAGCACTTTGGGAGGCCGAGGCGGGTGGATCACGAGGTCAAGAGATCGAGACCATCCTGGTCAACATGGTGAAACCCCGTCTCTACTAAAAATACAAAACAGCTGGGCATGGTGGCGCGTGCCTGTAATCCCAGCTACTCAGGAGGCTGAGGCAGGAGAATTGCCTGAACCCAGGAGGCGGAGGTTGCGGTGAACAGAGATCGCGTCATTGCACTCCAGCCTGGGTAACATGAGTGAAACTCCGTCTCAAAAAAAAAAAAAAAAAAAAAAAAAACCAAAAAAAAAAAAAAAAAAAAAAAAAAAAAAAGAGAGGCCTGATGATCCCCATAGAACTTCTCTGTGAGAAGGGGTTTGCTATTAGCTAAGTACACTCTAATCAGACAGGAAGCTTTTGTGTTCTGGCTGATAGCCGGGGCAGATTCGGCTCAGGGGAAAAGCTAATGAAAGGACTCACCCTCGGTTTTCAGTGAGTCTTGGTGGTTGCCATGTAGCAGGGGTTAGGGAGGGGAGTGCCACATGCTGGAACTGAGGTCTCTGGGACCTGAAAGAGAAGTGTCAGAATTCCCAGAGCTTCCATGGCAGCCTGGAAGTTGGAGAACGGGTATATTTGGCTCGAAATGCCTGCCTGTTCTTCACGCTAACGGCTCAGCTGCTTGCTCATCCCTCATTCTGTCTTCTAGTTCTTTGAGCCTTTTCTCCTTCAGCAGTCTGGCAATGCAGGTCCCATGTTTTCCAGCAGGAGATAGAAACCCAGTCCCTGCCATCTCTCTCTAGAAGCCTGTGATAGAGAAGCTTCAGGCTTGTATTCATGGTGCCCCAGGGCCTTGGGGCTTTGATTTTTATTTCCTTGTCGTCTGCACTCATGGCCTAGAAGGAGAGATGTTAGAGTTCCCCGGACCTGGACAGGTGGTGGTGAACTCTTATGGGCGTCCAGAGAGGGCCATGCCCCTTGCTGACAGGCCTGTCAGTGGGGCCACTGTTGCTCCTTGCTGGGCCACCCTTGCCAGCCAACCTCTCTCTCAGGTACAGCGCCTTCTCCTGTGGCCCACTTGCCTCTTGTGCTATGGACGACTCCTGGGAACTGGAACTGATGGGGATGGGTGGAAGGGTGCCTGATCTTCTGGTAGGGGCTGATCTCTTTTACTGTCCAGAAGGCGTGGAGTGGGCTGTGGAAAGACCCCTCCTGCTTGTCTCCAGCCCCCCACCTTTCTCTTCAGCTGTGGTCCACCAACCTCAGTTGTGCCAGACCATCCGGGATGCCGATGGCCACCACTACCCTGGTTTCCGTTGCCCTGTCTCTGATTCTCCAGGGGAAGCCTACTGCTGCCACCTGAAGGCTGCAGGGGGCTCCTGCTACACCCCGGCTGAATTTGAGGCCCTGTACCAAGTCAACTTGTCTGCTCTTCCGCCCCCCGTCCCCCATCCTCAGGTGTGATCTCCAGCCCCGGAGCCATTGGAACATCGCCAAGGTGTTTCAATATCTGGGGTTCTGTTCTTAAACTATGGGGTGGGAGGCTTGTAAATTACCGACTAGTGAAGGGACAGACCGCAGCAGAAAATCATGTAGATCATGATTACAATTGCAAAGGCGAAGTTCAGGGGGCTGTGCAAGCGGGTAATGGGGAGCCATCCTGAATCTGCCCATGGGTGGCTTCAGTGTGAGTCTCTAAATTCGTATGCAAATGTGTGTATGTCAGGCTACACTTATTTGGGGAGGGGGTTCCGAGCGTTCTCCGGACTCCCAGGGGTTCTGTACCCCTACAGAACACAGCAGCGAGAGCGCGGTCAGGGCTGGGATCCTGAGACTTTTTTCTCTCCCGCAGGGGCCCGGGCCCGCTCCTAGTGCGAGGCGTCTATACCCTGCTGCTTGTGACCCTGATGACCGCAGACCTCGTGCACTTCTGCTGCGGTCGGGGCCGGGGTCGGGGCTGGAACTACCGCAGGCCTCCCTCTGGGTCCTCCGCCGCGAGCTCCCCGCAGGTCACCGCGGGGACAGCTTAGGGGCGCGCGGCGCCTGCTTGCACCTGCCACCCGGGGCCGAGCACTCCGCCCCTGCCCGGGCGCGCGCACCCCTGAGCCCCGCCCCTCTCTGACCCCGCCTCCGACGCAAGAGTGGGCGGGGCAGCTCCCGGCAGCGTCCCGAGCCCAGACGCCACCCGCCCCAGAGACTGCGCCTGCGCGGGCCCCGCACGGCTTCTCCGCCATGACCGTGAGTGGTGCAGGGAGCCCCGAGCCCCGGCCGGCTGCCCCCGGGGTGTGTACCCAAGCCCCGTGCCATCACCCCTTCGCACCCGCGCTGACCGTCCCGGCCTCCTCGGCCCCATCCGTGAGGCGCCCCCGCATCCCCCCTCTCCTCTCCCCTTAGCTCCCGGGCCCTGCCCCGAGCCCCCTCCGACGTGGCCGCCCCTTTCTCCCTCCAGGCCAACTCGGTGGCAGTGGAGCAGCTGCGGAAAGAGGGCAACGAGCTGTTCAAATGTGGAGACTACCAGGGCGCCCTGGCGGCCTACACTCAGGCCCTGGGTCTGGACGCGACGCCCCAGGACCAGGCCATTCTGCACCGGAACCGGGCCGCCTGCCACCTCAAGCTGGTGAGGGAGCCGGGCGCCCTTCCCCTCCAACTTCCCCACCCTCCCGGGACCCGGTTTGCACATCTTAGCTGTTGCTTGGGCCCCAGCTGGACATTCACGCTTCCAGGCCACCCCGCTTGCTAGATGTCGAATGCACCTCAGGGTCGCGGGGGATTGGGTGACCTTGGAGAACGAGAGCACCCCACTGTCGGGTTAGTACCCCTAGAGGGAGGTGACCATTCCTTTGGCTCCTATTCCACCGCCCCCGCCCCCTGCCCCTCCCCACTGGGCTCCTGTCTTTCTCTTACAGGAAGATTACGACAAAGCAGAAACAGAGGCATCCAAAGGTAGGGGAATGGTGGGCCCTCGAGTGGCACTGTAGGGCTTCTGTAGGGCAAGGACTGTGGGACCATCACATTCCTCTCCTTGGCCCCGGAGACACATCTGCCTTCTTTCTTTCCTACTGCCTCGGGCCTTTCCTTTTCTGCAGCTACCCTTACCTTTTCTGAGGCTGAAGCACCGAGCCCCACATTCATCCCCCACCTTCCTCTGGCTTTTCCTCGAGATCTTTCCCTACTGCTCTTGCCTGATGACGGTGGCCTCGTGGGTGCTGACAGCACTCCTGTTTGTGCTCAGCCATTGAAAAGGATGGTGGGGATGTCAAGGCACTCTACCGGCGGAGCCAAGCCCTAGAGAAGCTGGGCCGCCTAGACCAGGCTGTCCTTGACCTGAAGAGATGTGTGAGCTTGGAACCCAAGAACAAAGTTTTCCAGGAGGCCTTGCGGAACATCGGGGGCCAGATTCAGGAGAAGGTATGTGAGTGACCCAGACAGGCGGAAGCACTGACCAGTGGTGAGGGGATCTGGGCCAGGGGTATAGACAATTCTCCAGACAAGAGATACTGATGGCAGGTGAACATACAGAGTTCTGCTCAACCTTGCCTGTGGCCAGGGAAAAGCAAATTCAGATGACAGCACGTTACTGCTGATTTGGTGGTCTGTTTGGCAGATATTTAAAAGAAAGTACACTTTTCGAGGACAGGCAGACACGTCAATGGTGAGGCTGGGGCCAAGGACTCTCTGATGACTGCTGGAGGGGTATAAATTGGTACAGCTCTTTTGGAAAGTACCTTAGCATATCTATTACATTTGAAACAAGTGTATCTTGTGAGCCCATATGTTTACTTCTTGCTGTTTCTCTCTTTTTTTTTAAATTTATTTTTATTTTTTTTAAAGACGGGGTTTTACCATGTTGGTCAGGCTGGTCTTGAACTCCTGACCTCAGGTGATCCACCCACCTTGGCCTCCAAAGTGCTTGGATTACAGGCATGAGCCACCAGGCCCGGCCTACTTCTTGCTGTTGCTCTCAGAGAAACCTTTCCCATGGGTACAAGGAGACATGTATATGTTTAGTTCAGCCTTTTTTATAGTAAGAAAAGCTTGGAACTTGTGTGAACACCCAGCCATAGAGAAATGGCTGAATACACTGAGTAATGCCCTTACTGCAAAGTCTTACGTAGTTGATGAGAAGAGGTAGATACACACTTATTGAGGTGG